GAAGAAGAGAGGAGAAGGAGGAGGAGGAAGAAGATAGAAGAATAAGGGTGAAGAATGGTGTTTTGGGGCTGAAAATCCGGTCAAAAGGCACTCTCCTCGATCCCATATGCCCATGTCCTTTGAAAAGCTCGAGAAAAACGCACTTCTGGCAAAAAAAACAGACCCTAGCGCCACTAAGAGGGGGCCTAGCGCCGCTAGGGGAGCCTTACCGCCGCTAGGGTCAAGGGTGCCGAGCCTCAGAAGCCCGCTAGCACCCTTAGTGCCGCTAGCGGGGGCTGGATTGCGTGACTTTGCGTTTCGGGCTCGTTTGGGCTCATCCGAACTCAGAATTGAGTTCCGTTTTTTTCCTACGCATCGCTAACGCACAACTCTATTCAATGATGCTTGCATGGCCAAATTATTCTTAAAATCCTATTCTCCCAAAGCTTATGACCAGCCACCAAAAACGTGCTTCGCGCGACTTCGCGTTTTGGGCCCGTTCGGACTCGTCCAAGCTCGAAATTGAGCTCTGCTTCTTCCTATATGTCGCTAACGAACCCTTCTACTCAACCATGATTGCTCGGTCATTGTTCGGGCTAAATTGATTTCTCACAAGGCTTTCGACCTGCACACCAAAAAACGAAGAAAAGCCCGAAAAAACACACGAAAAAACACAAAAGAAGCCAAAATAAAGGATAACACATAATAAACTACAAAACGAACTAAAAATCAACGAAAAGACCTAAAACGGGGGAAAAAGAAAGATAAAATAACATGTAAAAATACAACAAAAATGGGACAAACAACTCCCCCACACTTGACCTTTGTTCGTCCCGAACAAAAAGAAGAGAAAACAAACAAACAAGCAAGGATAACGGCTTTAAGCAGGACTAATTTCAAATTAATCAATCAAGTCGAGAAGAATTCCAATAATCACAAAAGCACACCTCAACTATTAACTTGCTCATTTCGAAGAACAAAGACTCTCGGGTACGAAGATATATCATATGCCTCACTCAGTTTCTTTCGCAAATATAAGATAGGTGCGCTCAAATTGGTCATCAATCGTTTCCTCCTCTCGTCCTAAGAGTTTCCTTCTCCCGTCCTGAGAGTGCTCATCTCCTTTTGGAGGTTTCTCTTTGATTTGCGGAGGTCAGAGGGTGAAATCAGTCGGAAGGTAGGGTTTCTTTCATAGGATTATGGAGGGAGATAAGATGACGGAGGAATTAGGGTATCGATTAGGGAAGGTTTCAATTGCGCAGGCTGAAAAACTAATTATCGACATTGAGGAGAAAGATGTGCGCATCATTGCAGAAGAATGCCAAAGGAGTTTATTCAGAAAAATCATAGGGGATAAAAAAGCTAATTGGGTGGGAATTAGAAGAACCATGGGAATGCTGTGGAGGCTTGGGACTTCCCTGGAGGTAAGAGAGCTCAATACCAGTTACTTCCAATTTCTATTTCCAGATAGAGAGGCACTTCGAAAAGTGGATATGACGAGAAGATGGATCTTTGAAAGCCAATAACTAATTCTTCGAGAATGGTCCCAAGGATTATCGGAGAATCATCCGAGCTTCAATGAAATTACAGTTTGGGTATAGGCTCATGGTATACCAGTCAATTGGCAATGTACTAAAGTGGGATTGAAGTTGGAGATGGCATTTAAAGGAATAAAAAATGTGAAGATGGCTAGGGCGGGGAACCTAGAAGTGAGAATAATCAGATTACAAGCAGTACTGGATATCCGGGAACCATTACCTAGATGGTCAACAATCAGACTGGGAGAACAAATGGTAACAATCCAATTCAAACATGACCGGATTGTCAGTCTATGCTATTATTGTGGAAGATTAGGATACATTGATAAGAACTGTGCAAGACGTATGGAAGATATAGAAAATAAAATTGTTAATGAGGGACAATATGGGGAGTGGATGAAGGCGACAGAAGGGGTTGTTACCTCGGGATCACCACCGGCTAGCAATAACAGTGAGCCATCCTCAAGCAGACAACCAGCTCCTTCTGCATCTTATGAGAAAAGAGATAAAATGCAACCAATTTCCTTATCTACAGACAGAGAGGAGGAGAGACCAGAGACACAAATACAAGAAGAAGGCAACAATGAGAAAAGCATTTGTGTTGTAGAATCCTCGAACTCTTATGCAGGAGGTGAAGCACCTAAGGAGACTCAAAATCCAATGAAGATGCATCAACAATCAATGAGCAATGACTAAAATTTGGTTTTTATTCCAGCAGAGGAGGAGATTAATATGGAGATCCAAATACCAGAGCAGGTAACCAGTGAGCCACAAGGATGTAAACAACTTTCAACCCATTGTAGGCTATGGAGAAGAACCAATGCTAATAGAGGAAAACTTTCAAGGCAAGAACCAACCAGCCTTATCATTGCACCTGAAATTGGATGTAAAAGAGAAAGAGACAACTCAAATAATCAGTTGGTAGAGTACCATCAGAACCAAGGAGAATCTAGTGACAAGAAGAAGATGAAACTCTCAAATAAAGAGGTGGAGGAGGCCAGCCCCAAATGGCACCAGAGTGAACAATGCTAGCTTTGGTGTGGAACTGTAGAGGTCTGGGTTGATGCTGTAACGCCCCGTTTTATTTTAAAGAATTTTTGAATTTATTTATAAAAATCAGAATTTATTTTTAGCAAAATCCCAATTTAAAATTTTACTAATCAACGGTCGCTACTTAACTACCAAAAATAATTAAATAATTTAAACAGCTATGAAAGATCTACACATGTATAAAACTAACAGTTCAAGATAAAATCCAATATATTCATAAGTCTCAAACCATTCATGCATAATCAAATACTTCAACAGAAATTCAATGGTCTAACCAACATGTTCAAAATAAATAAGGCGGGAGCATAATTATTCCAAGTTAAACAAATGGTCTATCGAGATACTAAAAAGCGGAAGCAAGCAACACACAATTCCAACGACCACCACTCGATCATCTCTCGCTACCGCCGCCAACCAATGCTCAACCTAAAAAGATAGGAAGAAGAACAAGAGGACAGAGAAGTAAATGGGGGTGAGTACAACCATCATACTCACCATTACCGCAGAGTATATTTCGCATAAAGATCCATAACTATAAATAATGTATGCATAGAATCAAGATCTAACTCCCTATTAGGCCCTATCGCAAACCTCCTATGTACATACAACAAACCTTCCGACCAGATATCGGCAAGGATGTAACTGGAAACACTCCCACCCCGGATGCAACGGGAATAAGATCTTATCCAGGAGACAATGGAGTTGAATTACCCCTCTGCTCTACACGGATTCGGGCGTTCAGACATTCCCCTCCGCTCTACATGGATTCGGGCGTCCACCTCCCGGATGCAACGGGCAGGTGACCTCCACTGATTATGCATTCGTCAAAGGCACTACCGTCGAGACACTTAGACTAGGGTTATCACGCATATAAAAGCTATCGAGACAAACATTTATACGAAATAACAAGTGCGATAAATGTAGATTCAACATAAATGAACCCACCTGGTAGCAATCGAGATAAATACAAAATAAGGGTAGGCGGCGAGCTCGACTCGTCAAGCACCTACATTTATTAAAATAGCCTTATCAAGGACTATTCGACAATTACTTAGTCCAACTAAGTTCATGTAAGCATTTAAGCATGCATTAAATCAAGGGAATCACATTTCCGAAGATATCACGTAAGTTTTTGAAAACTTGACCCGGGCAGCATTTTTAAAATCGACATCACTTTCAGCACACAACTCATATGAACATGAATCAAGTTGCATTGAAATCTTAAGACATTAATCTACAATTCTTATGAAGACACTGAAAGCAAATAAGGCCATTTAACAGGTGATAAATCAGCAAACATTAAAAATAGAGTCACAGTCCAAAACTGGGAAAATGACTTGACCAGACTTCAGTAATTGCTAGCTAACTGGAGCTACAGGCATGTTTTCAATGGAATTTAAAAACCATGATAGATAACGCAAATGTCTACAACTTTGCTGAAAACCACATTGGCAAATAATCACATTATCAACGAGTTTAAACACAAAACATGTGATTCAGCAAAACTGTAAAAAACTATTATGTGATATGGACAGCACCTCAGATTTTATCACTTATCTTAAGTTACAGACCTCAAAATGACATGGTTCAAGACTCAAATTAAACCTTAAGCATGCCTCTATAACTTTTATTTAGAACACAGAAGCATATAAGATCATTTGGATAGAGTAAAATCAGTTAACATTAAATTTCAGATTTCTGCCAAAATGATAAATCGTATCTCATGTATATCTAAATTTACAAGAACACAACTCGAGCTTCAGAGCACATATCAACGTGAAATTCAACTCATTTGAAAGTTAAGAAATATGCCTACAACTTTCATGAAGAGCACAAGTTCATACGAGCACATTACGACATGAAAAACAGGTCACACATTAAATATACTTATGCTGTCGGGTAATAGGAAAAACTGGACGCACAAAAATCTTGTAAAAATCATAACTTTTTCGATATAGCTCGGAATCAAGAAATTCTAAAGCCCATATATACCAAACTGAACATAATACGTTTTACATGAAGGTCACAACTTAAAATAACAAGATCCTGAGGGCCAAAACTGAGGCACAACAGAACAGAAATATTGTGATCTCTCATGAAATTCCCAACGTTACTTCACCAATTTAACCTCTCTATCAAGCAACTCATGAAAGCAACATTTAAGCATCTTATAACATCAATAAGGCAGGCATAACAAAGTGAAAGATTTATTTTAGCATGTTTGATCATCCACTACAACACAAGATTACAAGAACTCATCATAATTCACATAAATACATAAATTATCAAACCCTAGCATGCATGTTCTTCATAAACATCAACATCTCCAACAAGAACAAGAATTAACATATTAACATATAGGGTTTTATAGCCTTAGTATCGATCTCGGGAAATATCACGTGAAATGATTGAGAGAGGGCAGAGAAGGGGCCGATGCGCGTGTGGGATGGGCTCGGCGGCCTTGCTTGGCTCGCACGGGGTTTCGGGGCTGAACTTCAGCGATTGGGGGACGACAGACGGGGGCCAGGGATCTCTCAGTTGTTGAGGGAACGCCGGTGTTGATGCGCGAAGGGAAAGATCGCCGAGGTGGCCGCGGGGTGCTCCGTTGTTGTCCTCGGGTGACCTCGGTTTTGAGGGATTGAAAGGGGTTATTTGTTCGTATTTGGATGGTTTACTTAGAGTTTCAATTTAGAATTTGAGAGAATATGTGAAGGAGGGACGTTCAGAATTTTTACTTAGGGGAAAAGAAGTGATGCGTGCGTGATATAGGGGAAATATTGGAGTGGAAATCTCCTTGATTCACTTAGGAAATAAAAGGGATATAACTCACTATTAAAAGCATCAATTAGGCACCAAGAAGGGGGAGGTAACGGATGGGAAGAGGGGTCCCAAGGACTGGTCCAAAGCTACCATAATTAGCTAAGGATATTTGAATTCAAATTCAAACAAATAAGGCTGCATGCATGGGGGTGGCTCGGGCCGGGCAGACTGTCACACGCGGGGTGCGGGCCGGGCTGGCCATTCACGCGGGTTGCGGGTCGTTAGGCGTGAGTGGTGCGCGGGTTGAGGGAAAGCCCGGTCACTTGACGTGCGTGCTCGGTTTCTAAAAAAATTCCCGACTAAGCTCGATTACTCGGTCCAATCGATAATTAAAAATAATAACACAATTCGGCTAAATATTAAAATTAATACAATTAACAATTATGACCATTTAATCGAAATAAAAATTTATCGAGCTCGAATAAAAATTTTACGGAAAAAAATAAGATAAAATAAAATAAATAACAATAATAATTTCCAAATAATCCGAAACAAATGGGGCATTACAGATGCTCTACAGTTCCCCAAATTCGAGAGGCGTTGAATACTCACCACCCCCATTTTCTATTTTTATCAGAAACAAAAAAAAAAAAACAAAAAAAAAAATTTTACTTTGAAAATATGTTATAAGTTGGGATTTAATTCTAGGTTTTGTTTTGTGGAACCAGATGGTAGTATAGGGGGAATGCTGTTATGTTGGGACATGCAGGTGATGGTGTTGCAAGTGAGAGAGACTTCCTTCTCCATACAAATTCAATTCAAACTCAAAATGAAGGAGGACCCCTGTTGGCTGACTTTTGTATACTTAAGCACTGAACTACCAAAAAGAATGGAGCAATGGCAGTGTTTAATTACTGATAAGGAGGGTTGGGGAGAAGAATGGTGCATTATTGGTGATTGGAATGACCTTCATTTGCAGGAGAATAAATCAGGTGGCAGACCAAGATCATTAAGAAGTCTGGTGCCATTTCAGACTTTCATATCAGATATGGGCATGACTGAACTCAGTATGAAGGGGCACAAGTATACTTGGTGCAATAACAGAGAAAATGAAGGCATAGTGGAGGAGAAATTGGATAATGCCTTTGGCTCCATGGGATGGATGATCAGATACCCACTCTCTCAGTTCACCAACATATATAGAAGTGCCTCTGATCATGGTATGCTGCTCCTTAAAGCTAAAGAGAACACAGTGAAGAGCAACATGAGATTTACATTTGATAAAAGATGGGCTACCAGAGAAGGAGTGAGGGATATAGTCAGCAAGGCATGGGCACAATCTCATTTGGGAACCCCTTTCTTCAAGCTGAAAGAACAAGTGAAAGTCACAAGAGTAGCTTTATCTAAATGGAGCCAAACTTTTGGCACAAACAACAAGAGAAAGATCAAACAGCTAACTCTGAAACTAGAAGAAATGAGAAGCATAGGGGAAGGGAAAAATTGGGAGGAGTAGGAGACACTAAAAATGGAGCTTGAGCAAGCACACTATTCAGAGGAAGCATAATGGCAACAAAAATCTAGAACTCTATGGCTCAAGGAAGGAGATCAAAACTTCAGATATTTCCATGCATTGACTGCTCAAAGAAGAAAGAGAAATGCTATTACCCTCCTTGTGGACAGCAGAAACAGAACTTATAAAACTAAGGCAGAACTGGAGACACATATTTCTGAATTCTACCAGACATTGTTCTCTTCTGAAGGATCAATTGGGGGTTAAAGGATCCTACAGCTTATTCCCAGATCTATTACAACAAAGATGAACACAGCTCTTATTGCAGAGATGGAGGAAGATGAAATCAAACATACACTATTCCAAATGAATCCACTGAAGGCCCCAGGGGAAGAAGGTATGACAACTCTCTTTTATCAGTACTTCTGGCCTGTCATTGAAAAGAATGTGTATACAACTATCCAAAGTTTTTTCTCATCTGGCATATTCCTCAAATATTGGAACCATACCATCCTCACAATGATCCCTAAATGTGAGAACCCCACCTCCTTAACCCAGTATAGACCCATCAGCTTATGCACAGTTGTGTTCAAGCTCATATCCAAAATATTGGCTAACAGATTGAAAGATTGCTTAGACAACTGCATTAGCCCAGCACAGGGAGCCTTCATCCCAGGTAGACAATTAGTGGACAATATCATTATTGCTCAGGAAAGTTACCATTATTTAAACAGACATAGATCTGGGAAGCATTATTTTATGGCATTAAAATTGGATATGATGAAAGCCTACGATAGAGTAGAATAGAGATGTCTTAAGGCTTTAATGCTGAAAATAGGTTTCCATGAAACCTTTGTCAGATGGATAATGTTCTGGTGTCAGTTCTGTATCATTCTCTTTCATGCTAAATGAAGAAGTTGTGGGGTTTGTGAAGCCTACCAGAGGATTGAGGCAAAGTGATCCCATATCACCTTACCTATTTTTAATTGTGTCTGAAGCCTTATCTGTTTTGATATCTAATGCAGCTGAAAGTGGGAGTTTCAGAGGATTGAGATTAGTTAGAGGGGGCCCCTTATTAACACATTTACTTTTTGCTGATGATCTGCTAGTGTTTTGTAAAGCTGACATGGGGCAGGCCTTATTATTGATGGACATTCTTCACAGGTATGAGTTTTTCTTTGGGCAGAAAGTTAACTTATCCAAATCAACAGTGTTCTTCAGTAAGAATACTAATAGTCCTGAAAAGAAATCCATTTGCACAGTGTTGAATGGTCTAACAGCTCACAAATCCTCCAGATATTTGGGCCTCCCCTTTGGGATAGGCCAATCTAAAAGAGAATCATTTGAATTTGTGATCAATGCTGTGAGACAGAGGGTGCTGAGCTGGAAAATAAGTATCTTTCAATTGCAGGCAAAGAAGTCTTGATAAAAGCTGTAATAAACTCTCTCCCAGTCTTTGCCATGTCATGTTTCAAATTGAATGCAGGGGTTTGCAAAGATATTGCTAGAATGACTGCTCAATTCTGGTGGTCAAAGGGTGGTGAGCAAAATAGTAGCATTCATTAGAAAAGTTGGAATCTATTATCATTACCTAAGCAACAGGGAGGACTGGGATTCCAAGATTTAATGATATTCAATGTAGCACTCATCTTGAAGCAGCTTTGGAGGATTACTCACAACCCTGAGCTTCTGGTTTCCAAAATCCTCAAAAGCAGATACTTCCCAAATACATCTATCTTTGAAGCCCAAAGGAAGGACTCAGCTTCATGGATCTGAAATAACTGGTTGAAGGTCTTACCCATATTCAAAGCATACTGCTAGAAAGAAATTAAGAATGGCAGAAGCACTCTGATCAAAGATGGAGGGTGGGTACCAGAATTGAAGGGCAAATCACCTACTCTACAATCTCACAGTGATAACCTCATGTGTGGGTTTATGAACTGATGTCTGATACAGGGAGAACATGGGATGCATAAAAGGTGAGATTTTGGTTTACTGCTCAAGAAAGTACAGCCATCCTTGGCATTAAAGAAATAGAACCACAGAAGGATGACAGGTGGAAATGGACACTCAGTAGCAAAGGCAACTTCTCTGTGGCAGAAACATATAAAGTGTTGATCTTTGAAAAGGTCAAGAAACTTGACATTGCAGAGAATAGCAAAACTATGTTTGTGGACCCCATGGTGAGAGATATGAGTTGGAAGCTGAAGGTGAAAGGAAAGCTTAAGCATTTTCTATGGAAATGCTTCAATGGTATCTTACCAGTGAACATGAACCTTCTGAAAAAAGGCATGGATATAGATGGTATATGCAACATGTATGGGGATGCAGCAGAGACTATAGAACATCTATTCCTGAAGTGCAGCAAAGACCAAACAGTCTGGGACCTTGCCCCTCTGTCACGGGATGGGATTAACCAGCAGAATTCAAGCTTCAAGGAGTGGTGGTGGCAGGTTTGTGACATTGGTAAATCTGAGGTCTCAGAGGCTAGAATCCAGCTCTCCACCTATATACTATGGTGGTTGTGAAGAGCTCGGAATTTATGGGTATTTCAGAAGGAAAGAATTCCAGAGATTGTCATCATCAAAAGAGCATTGGGAGAATGGCAGGAGTTCTGTGCAGTTAAGAGGAAGTCAGCTTCATCAGATGGTTTATGGGGTGTGATCTAGTGTAGGCAGTTATCAGTTGTTTTTTGTTTTTTTTGTTTGCAGTGTCTGTAGTATCTGCTTCGGTCAAAGTTTGGGTGTTTATTGGTTTGCTAGTCTGTTATTTCTTTGGCATCTTTTCCAGCTTTTTTCTCCCTCTTGTTTTGGAGCTTGGTGGTGTGGTGTGTTTAGTGTGTATTTGCTATGTGGACTAGTTTGTGTTGGTTGGCGGTTTTAGAGGTGTTATCAAGGTTCGGGTGTGTATACCTGCTTGATACCTTGGGTGGAGTGTTTGTAGACCACTTTGTCTAGTGGTTCTCCCATTGTATTTCTACCCGTTTGGTAGGCTCGGAGGTGCGTCTTTTTACTCTTTATTTTGATATGAGAATTTCCTATCGTTTCAGNAATCAATTGCCTCACTCAGTTTCTTTCGCAAATATAACATAGGTGCGCTCAAATTGATCATCAATCAAATCAATCATAAACTTGCCTATCGTCTAACTTTTACTCTAAAACGAACAAATTAATGAAATAGTGAATAAAGAGGACTTCTCGGGATGTAACGTAGGCTCTTTGGATCGGGTAGGATAATATAGGCTAAGTGGCTCAATAATAATCAATTCAACTCAACTCCATCACCTAGCTGTGAACGTGAACTCCTCCGGTACTCAAATTCCTACGGGTTCCTTCCAACTCCAGCCCAAAGCCAACACACTTCCCCGACAATTATTCCTATATACACATATCATATATATATATATAATTTTTTTTTATTGAACCCTTTGGATATTTTAACTAATCCATTCGGTCCCTTTTTTTTTGTGAATGACAACCTTAGGGTGTTTATTTCCCTTCAGTTTCACTTCATTTTTCACTCTTTTGTTTATATATATATATATAAAACTCAACACCAATCACCTCAAATTCTCAACCCGAAACTCCACAACATCATCGTCACGAGGTTATAAAAGAAAGAAAATCAATAAGGCTCAAAGAGGGTGACTAGTGAGTGTTATTTACCGAAAAAAAAAGGGAGAGAAACTACAATGAATGTCTCAATCATTTTCACATTTCACAAGTAAAAATACAACAAAAATGGGACAAACATTCACGACGAACTTGCATCCAGAAATAGAAGAGTAATTTAGGAATAATGTTGAGCGAGATTCTGAGATTACCCTTGCCTTCAACCTACACATACTTGGAGTTGGATAGATTCAAGCTAGATACAAATATTTTTATGACATTAATTATAAATATTCATTTTTATTTATAAACATCATAATATTATAATGCTATATAATTAATTTTATATAAACATTAATTACAAATATTATATAAGCATCATATATACCGTAATATGTATTTCTTATGCATTTAACTATGATATTATTATTTTTTTATTATCATAAATATTAAAATTTATGATAAATAAATTGGTTATTCTAGCCTTTTAAAGGCTCTATATACAAGAAAAAAAGCCCAAGAGCGGGCCGTCCTATTAATAAAAATTGTCGGTGCAGGCACCTTAATTCGTCGACAAATACGAGCTATATATTCTTCCCTGAATTCGCTATAACCACATTAAATCCACCCTAAAAACATTAAAATACCACAAAATTACGAGGTCGTCGCTTCGATGGCCCCATGGGCGCAAACACACGTCAACAAAATGGCGCTAGAGGAAGGGCACCGTCACGCATCTGAATCCCTCAGTGATTCACGGTGTTGTTCGGATGAACCCTCACCCAACACCCATTATCTCGTTACTCTGGCCATATGGAAGGGCGGCAATGCTAACACTCCATATTCAAACTTTTTTTTCTCCAGATTCACGATCGGATCGATCAATCTTCAGTATAATCTTCCTTTTTCTCGTTACTTCACTCAGAAAAATATTCCAATACACTTCATATACAGAGAACCCTACTTTTTACCTCGTTATAATGCCTGATATAAAACCAAAGCCTTCCTATAATCATTCATTAGTTCGTCTTCGATAAGGTTATGGGTCGATAAGTTCGTCCTCGATAAGAACGTTGGGGGAGAAGGACTAATCAACCTATATCTTAAACAACTACTACGTGGCTGGGCGATCTGGGAGTTGGTATGGGGAGTTCTCCTCTTAATGGCTCCTTTACAGCTCTACTTTCAGATCACATATATATTGGGTCAAAGGCACCACCATCCCTTCCAGGACAATTGCGATCTGGTCCTCGGTCGGAACCGTCCAGAGAACGGACCACCTTTCGCAACCAAGAGCTAGGGGCCTGATGGGGAAATATCTCAGTTGGAAGTCACCACTACCAGGACCAAGGAACACTACAAGGAAACCTTGCCTTTTTAGGACCGACAACC